CCCATTCTATATTATTGTCTCCTTTATCAAGTATTAATTGACTGTAAAAGTGTGAGTTTATTTATGGGCTCTTTATTCTGTTCCATTGATCTATGTGTTGGCTTTTATGCCAGTGCCAGGTTGTTTTGATTACTAGGGCCTTGTAGTATGGTTTGATATTCGGCAACATGATTCCTTTATGTTCCTTCTCAATATTGATATGGTTATTTGGGGGTCTATTGTGGTTCCATATAAATTTGCGGGATGTTTGTTCTAGTTCAGTGAAATATGCCATTGGTATCTTTTTATTGTTTTAAAAAGGAGAGAGTAAGAGAAAGGGAGAGAGAGAAACATCAATGATTGAGAAATATCAATCAGCTGCCTTCTACATGCTCTACACTGGAGACCAAGCATGTGACCTGAACAGGAATCAAATTGGTGACTTCTTAGTGCACTGGATGATGTCCAGCCAACAGAGTCACACAGCCCAAGGCACATCTTTGGTGTCTTGATAGGAATTGCTTTGAATCTGTAGATTGCTTTAAGTAGTATGTACCTTCAATTTCTTTCTCCCGTATTTTATAATTATTCAAATACAGGTGTTTTACATTCTTGGATAATTTACTCCTAGGTATGTTTTTATTCCTAGGTATTTTTATGCATTTGTAAATTGGATTTTTTTTTAGTTTTCCTTTTTTTTTTTTTAAAGCTAAATCTTTTTTTTTTAATATACTTTTTTATTGATTTTGTACAGAGGGGAAGGGAGAGAGATAGAGAGTTAGAAACATCGATGAGAGAGAGTCATCGACCAGCTGCCTCTTGCAGCTGGGGATACGCCCGCAACCAAGGTACATGCCCTTGACCGGAATCGAACCCAGACCCTTCAGTCCCCAAGCCGACGCTCTATCCATTGAGCCAAACCGGTCTCAGCTAGTTTTCCTTTTTTTAAATTATATTTTATTGATTTATTACAGAGAGGAAGGGAGAGAGATAGAGAGCTAGAAATGTCGATGAGAGAGAAACATCGACCAGCTGCCTCTTGCACACCCCCTACTGGGGATGTGCCCGCAACCAATGTACAATACATGCCCTTGTCCGGAATCGAACCTGGGACCTTTCAGTCTGCAGACTGATGCTCTACCACTGAGCCAAACCAGCTTTGGCTAATTTTCCTTTTTAATAGCCCATTATTGTTGTATAAAAATGCCACCAATTTCTGAATGTATATTTTTGTATCATGCTACTTTACTGAATTCAATTATTAGTTCTAGTGGTTTTGGTGGAATCTTCATTGTTCTCTATTGACAGTATCATGCCATCTGTAAATTATGACAGTTTTGCTTCCTCCTTTTCAAGTTAGATGCCTTTTATTTCTTCTTCTCATCTGATTGTTGTGCCTAGTGCTTCCAGTACTATCTATACAGATAGTAGAGAAATATGCAAATTGGCTGTGACGCCATCATGTAATGACAGGGGCAGGGCTGTGGTGGAGAGCTCTCAGCATGCCTGCGCCAGGAGTCTGAAGGGTGTGGAGAGGGAGAGCAGATAGGCAGATAGGAGAATCAGGTTAGGAGGGGAGTGCAGATAGGCAGTTATTCATGGTGGCCAAGACATGGAAACAACCAAAGAGGACTACACACTGAGTCGAATCAGCTAGGGCTGGATGCCAGATTTTATCAAATACTATTTCTGCATCTATTGATATGATCATGTGATTTTTATCCTTCATTTTGTTTATATGATGCATCACATTTATTCAGATGCAGATATTGTACTAACCTTGTATCCCTAGAACACATGTGTCAAACATAAGGCCCGCGGGCCAAATCCGTCACGCCAGGCCTTGCAATGTGGCCTGCACCGCGCTGTCATCACTGCACTCCGCTGCGTTTCCATCACAATGACAGTTTATGACTGTTCAGTAAACCATTCGGCCCGCGATTTAGGCTGGATTTTAGATTTTGGCCCCTTCTCTGATTGAGTTCGACACCCCTACCCTAGAATTAATCCCACTTGATTAGGGTGTATGATCTTTTTAATGTATTGCTGAATCCATTTTACTAATTTTTGTTGAGTATTTTAGCATCCATGTTCATCAGAATTATTGGTCTGTAATTTTTTCCCTTGTAGTGTATCTGGTTTTGGAATTTTTGCTTTTATAACTATTATAACTATTATAACTATTATAACTATTGCTTTTAACTCTAATAGGTTGCTTGTTTCCATTTCATTCAGTTCTTTTTCTGGAGATTCCTTTCCCCCCCTCTCATTTGGGGTTTATTTCTTTGTCCCTGTTTTAGCTATCTCTTTGTATTTGCATCTATGTATTACATAGAACTATTATGCCTCCCATTCTTTGTGGACTGGCCTAATGTAGAAAGTATCTTGAGGTGTCTACTGGTGCATTCTCTTTGTTCACCTGAACTAGATGCTCTAGAAATCCCCTTGTGTGTATTATTTGAGCTCTCCTATTATAATTTGGTCTTGAATTGATGTCCCATTTGTGAGAGGATCTCCCCTCTGACTTGCTGCCAATAAGGTTCAACCCCAATGTTGGCATGCCACCTGTTATATATGTACACGTGCTTTGGGTCTGCTATTTTTAGGGCTTGCTGGATTTTGCTCTGATGTTGTTAAATCGGTCCCTTGGCGTTTCTATCCTGGACCTCCAGAGAGCTTTTCTAGAGAATGTGAATGTGAGTCACTGTCCCTTTCTGGCCTTGGGAGACCCGATTCATGTCCAAGAGGTTGAAGTCCTTAGTATTCCAGTAGTCGGGGACTTATTACCCAGAGGTTGTGTCTGCCTTGAGTCTCACACCTTGATTTTCCTGTTCTGAGCTGTACTCACTTCTCCAATAGAAGTGGTCCCACAGGTGTCAGCTTCAAGTACTTGGGTCCTGCTAGTATTTGCCTCCTAGTGCTGTCTGGGGTGGTATCTGCAGCGAGGACCCAAACACTATTTCTGACTAATTAGATCAGGTGAAGACTCAAAGCTTCCAGAGACACATCTCAGCCTGCAGACTGATTGGAAGGAGTCATGAGTAACATTGGGCAATTATCCACAGGTGAGGTGAGGGTTTCCTTCAGGGTGGGGCAATTGCTTCTGCCTGGAGGCTGTTATCCTCAGACTCTTAATAGGCCTCAGAAACTCCACAGGGTGGACAAGGGATTTTCCAATAGGGTGGATCAATTGCTTCTCCCCACCCCCAGGCAAAAAACATCTGGATAGTAAAGGTCTGCCTAAGAAAAATGATCTCAGCAGTGTGAAGGAATGACTCAGCACAGAAAACCAGAGTGCTTTCTAATCTCTAATCACAACCCTGGCTTATGCTTACACAGCTCCAGTCCACCCTGCCCTCCCTCTGCTTGAGCCCAAGGTAAATGGCTGCACTCAAAATTTTGTGTGTTGGGTGGGCCTTTAAGTGGGTGCCTGCATTTCCAGCTATCTCTCCCTGGCAGGCAGCAACCTCCTTGCTTTTCACAGCCAGATGTTATGTGGTTACTCTTCTCAGTTCTCATGCTCTCTACTGAGGTCCCAGCTTGGGAATTAGATCCCAGAGTTCTCAGTGGTAAACCCCCCCACAGATGAGATATCTCTCCGGAATTTCAGCTGCTGTCTATGGGAACCCAACCAGGCCTTACATGCCTCTGCCCTTCCTACCAGTCTCTATAGTCTTTCTTTTTTTTTAAATATATATTTTATTGATTTTTTTACAGAGAGGAAGGGAGAGAGATAGAGAGCTAGAAACGTCGATGAGAGAGTAACATCAACCAGCTGCCTCTTGCACACCCCCTACCAGGGATGTGCCCGCAACAAAGGTACATGCCCTTGACCGGAATCGAACCTGGGACCTTTCAGTCCGCAGACCGATGCTCTACCACTGAGCCAAACCGGTTTCGGCTCTATAGTCTTTCTATCCTTTGTTATCAGGGTTCTCTCCAGCTAATCTTCAGTTGATTATTCATGATGGTTTTTTGTATTTTAGTTGTAATTCCAGTTTGGTCCTGGGAATGTGTCAGTTTAGCATTCACGTACTCCACTGCCATTTTAAAAAACATATTTTATTGATTTTTCACAGAGGAAGGGAGAGGGATAGAAAGTCAGAAACATCGATGAGAGATAAGCATAAATCAGTTGCCTCCTGCACACCCCCCACTGAGGATATTCCTGCAAGCAAGGTACATGCCCTTGACCGGAATTGAACCTGGGACCCTTCAGTCCACAGGTTGACACTCTATCCACTGAGCCAAATCAGTTAGGGCTCCACTGCCATTTTTAATCTCAATCTAGCCATTTTAAAATTAAGACTGTTGCCTCCCTGTGGTCATTAACCATAAACTAATCTCAACCTTTTATCAATCTTATTAATTTCCCACTTTGAAAGACTCACCTTAAACCAATTGAACTCTTATCCCAATTCCTGAAGATATAACTTACCCAAATATTTGCCTTTTGAGTTACTATCAAGACTCTGTCAAGTTGATGTTCTTCCTTGCTATAGCTTTAATAATTCAGCTTTGTTTGATCAACAGGTTTCTTTGGTAATCTTTGTGGGAAGTAAAACATTGATAGTCATATCTTTTTAAATATAAATGTAAATATTTATAGATAAGATGATATAATTTCTGAGATCTGCTCCAAAATTAATATTTTCAAATCAGAAAGTACAATAGATAGGGGTAGGAAAACTTATAAAGTTTTGAAGATAGGAGTTCATTATAATATTCTGTCTGCTTTTGTATGTTTTAAATTCTTTATGATAATAAAATAAGTTCTTTTTCTTCTTTTTTTTTAATTTCTTTCTTTTTTTAAATATATTTTTATTGATTTTGTACAGAGAGGAAGGGAGATAGCGAGTTAGAAACATTGATGAGAGAGAGTCATTGATCAGCTGCCTCTTGCACACCCCCCACTGGGGATGTGCCCGCAACCAAGGTTCATGCCCTTGACCGGAATCGAACCCGGGACTGAAGCCGACGCTCTATCCATTGAGCCAAACCGGTTTTGGCTCTTTTTCTTCTTCTAATCCTTAAGAGGAATGTTCATGAAGATCACATTAAAGTTACACTGTCTGACCATGACTATCAGACTCATACCCAAGAGCATCCAGGCAAATGTAGCTTAAGTTATACTGAATTTTGCTCCTGATAGAAGGCAGTAAAGAGAAGACTGGTTATAGATTTGAGAGAAATAATTATTTTTTACTGCCCTCTTACAACACCCCTAATTATATAACTAATAGATATAACCAACTCAAATTATACATTTAAATATTGGTTAAAGGTGGTAGATAACATTTCCTGTGCTTTATTTATTCAGAGAGTGAAACTGTGCTATAGTCTTCTGACTTCTTAGTTGTGCTTAAAATGTGCTCCCTCCTGAATTCTGTTCTGGAAAAACGAAGCTTCTTATAATTTTGTTAGAACCTCTCACCCTGAAATGGGCAGTTATTATTATTACATACACACACAGAGTGATGCTCAATTTGAGGTTTTGAATAGCTATTCATATAAGTTGACTTTTCTGTGCATTTGTATCGAGGTGGATCCAGCTCAGGTTGATGTCCTGGGAACCAGTGAGGCTCTCGCTTAAATCCTGAGGGAGGAGAAAAGAGAAGACAAGTGGAATCAGTCAATAGTAAGGAGTCTTAATAACCAATTTCATTATTACTTCTGAGGGAATAGAGAGTGAGTCCCGTAGAATTCAGAAGAGAGAGGGGTCATTCACTCACTAATTCATTTTTTTTCCATTTTATTTATTTTCATTTTTTATTAAATTATTATCTGTGTACATATTTTATCATTGCCCCCCCCCCCCCATACATACCTTCCCTCCCCAGAGTTTTGTGTCCATTGGTTGTACTTATATGCATGTATACAAGTCCTTTGGTTGATCTCTTATCTCTCCCAGACATTCATTCATTTATTCACTCATTCAGTTAACTTTTATTTGAGTTCCTTTTATGTTCCATGCCTTGAATTAGATCCTGAGAACTTAAGAATTAAAAAGAATAGTCCACCTACTATGGGCTGAAAGTGGTCTTTTGTTATTGTAGCTTGTATCATATGTTGTTTCAAAGTAGTGTCCAAACTGGAAAGAAAAAGTAATAGATTAAAAATATAGGAGTCTACATCCAATATTTGGAAATAAAGGACACAGTAACATGAATTCCAATATCTTCTTTCATATTTTAGATTAACTAGAGAGGTCTATATATTATTAGAGGTCTATAATATTACTCTATATCCTACTAACTTTCATAGCCTTTTTGTTTGCTTAAGAGACCTAAAAGTCAAGGACCAGGGGAAAAGCTAGCCTAAGTCAGAAGACATTGTATATTTCTTTAGATGAATAAAGTTCAAACAAGAAGAGAAAGAGTACTCATATTTTTATTACCTTACAATAATATAATATTCAACTTGACAGTAAAGTGGGATAGGTATTCCAGCTAAGAACAGCTTCCCTCCCCACTGAAAAGAAGTATGAGAGATTTCAGCATTAGAAGTTATCAGATTCTTGCCTCTCAAATGGCTACTATTTCTTTTGCTAAGAGAAGGAAACAAAGGAAGAGAAAGTTACATTACCTGGGAAGGCAAGGGTTTGGGCTGTACTATATTCCTTAGATCATATCTTTCCTGGTTCCAGTTACCTATCAGGGTACGATTTGAATAGGTATTCTCATTAGTGGTGCATCTCCATCCATACTGGGAAAACTTGGATAAATCATTCCAATCTGTCCACACTTCAGCATGGCCATCTGCATTAATGAGGCTGCCATAGTGCGGGTTTGTAAGGAAACAGGAGAGGAACTCTCTCTGGGAAAAGATGAGAAAAGAAAAGCTTCTTATAAAAATCAGAGAGCAGAAAAGGCCTCCCCTTTTCACCCTTGGCCAAACATAACATAGGCACACCTCACTAAGAATCTAGGCTTTCCTTCCAATTTGACTGTTGTTATTCTGTTTCCTTTTCTCCAGGTCCACAAGTCCTTTGACCTATCCTCTCAATCAGCAGTAATGAATGACTATATAGATTAAATGCTCCCCTCAAAAACACAGAAAAACTTTAGTAACCTCAATACTATATACTAGCTAAATGTTCAGGTAATTTTGAGATGTTGGAATTTAAGAACCAGGAGTATTTCCCTGGCCTGTGTGGCTCAGTTGGTTGGAGCATCGTACACCAAATGATGGTGGGTTCGAGTCCCAGTCAGGGGATATACCCAGGTTGTGTAGTGGGTCAACACCAGTAGGGGTGTATGCAGAAGGCAACTTATCAATGTTTCTCTTTCTCATTGATGTCTCCCCCCCCCCCTTCCTGTCTCTAAAAAAATGAAGGTATTGGAGGATCCAAGATGGCTGCACAGGTAAACACCTAACCGCAGCCGCACACAACAATTTCAATAAAATACAACTAAAATATAAAATGGACATTACCCAGAACTACAGGAAAGTCGACTGACTGGAATTTCTACAATGAGAAGCAAGGAGAAAACCAGAAGGAAGAGCAGAGGAGCTGTAAAAGCCTAAGGTACAGAGACACGCGGCGCACTTGGAGAGGACGGAGCCGGAGAGGAGGGGGTGGTTCAGTGCCTGGCTAGCGTTCCCTAGAGGGAAGGAGATAAAAGCTCCAGACTGTGCTGAACTCCAGACCCGACTGCTCTGAAGCCCAGTTCTAGGCCAGACCCTGGGGACCCAGGCTCAAACAGAGGGAGTCTGGGCTGTGAGGCAGAATCCCAGGGGAGCGGCGAAAAGCAGAGCCCCGGAGGTGTGTACATTGCACACAGAGGACGGACTGTTGACTCTGCTGCCAGATTGCCCTAGCAGGAAGGAAACAAAAGCTCCGGACTATGCTAAGCCCCGTTCTGACTGCTCTGAACCCCAGTTCTAGGCCAGACTCCGGGGACTCAGGCTCATCCAGAGGGAGCTGGGCTATAAAGCGGAACCCCGGGGGAGTGCACATTGCGCGCAGAGAAGGGACGGTTGGCTGTGCCGCGGGATTGCCCTGGTGGGAAGGAGACAGGGGCTCCAGACTGCTCTGAATACCACCTCCAATCCCACTTCCAAATGAACTGAACCCCAGTTCCAGGCCCATTGGGGGAGAGACTAGACTGTTTGGTAGTAGGCAAAACTCGAGGGCATCTCACTCTCAGAGGTGCTTGCAGCGAGTACTAAAGGACCCTGAGGAATATTGAGACTCAAGAGCTGCATAGGGCGTGGCTGACGGAAGCCAAGGCTGTAGGTTCCACCCTGAAACTCCGCTCCATCAGGGAAGCTGCGAAAATGCTGAGACAAGGAAATAGATAACAAACGAAAGAAATGGAGGACAAAAAGCGACTGGATATAGAGTTCAAAACCACACTTATAAGATTGTTCAAGAATCTCCTAGAAAAGGCCGATAAAATAAATGAGACCTATGAGGATATGAAAAGGGATCAACTAGAAATAATAAGGAATCAACAAGAAATAATACGGGATCAACAAGAAATAATAAGGGATCAACAAGAAATAAAGAATACATTGTCTGAAATAAAAAATATTATACAGAGTCCTAAAAACAGAATGGAAGATCGCAAGAATCAAGTCAAAGATTTGGAGCATAAAGAGCCAGAAGACACTCCTCCGCTGAAGCAACAAGGCAAGAGAATCCAGAAAATTGAAGATAATGTAAGAAACCTCTGGGACAACTTCAAGCGAACCAACATCAGAATTATGGGGGTCCCAGAAGATGAGAGAGAGCAAGATATCAAAAACATACTGAAAGAAATAGTGACAGAAAACTTCCCCCACCTGGTGAAAGAACTAGACTTACAAGTCCAGGAAGTGCACAGAACTCCAAACAAAAGGAATCCAAAGAAGACCACACCAAGACAAATCATAATTAAAATTCCAAGAGCAAAAGACAAAGAGAATATTAAAAGCAGCAAGAGAAAAGCAGGTAGTTACCTCTAAAGGAGCACCTAAACGATTGTCAGCTCATTTCTCAACAGAAACCATGCAGGCCAGATGGGAATGGCAAGAAATATTCAAGGTGATGAATAGTAAGAACCTACAGGCAAAGATAATCTACCCACCAAAGCTATCACTCAGAATTCAAGGCCAGATAAAGAGCTTCACCAATAAAAAAAAAAAGCTAAAGGAGTGCATCACCAGCAAACCAGAATTATTTGAATTGCTGAAGGGGGTTCTTTCGGAAGAGAAAGTAAATAAAGATAAAAACTATGAACAACAAATACATAACTATCAACAAGTGAATCTAAAAACCAAAAAAAAAAAAAAAAAAAAATCTGATGAACAATATTAACTGGTGAATATAATAGAATCAGAGGTATGGAAGGGGAGTGAACTGATGATTGTTGGGGAAAAGGGGAGATGGGGATGTGGGAAGAGACTGAACATAAACTGTGCACCTATGGATGGAGACAATGATGGGTGGGGAAAGGGTGGGGTGGGAACCTGGTGGAGGAGAGCAACGGAGGGGGGGGGAAAGAGGAACATCTGTAATAATATGAACTATAAAGATTTAAAAATAAATAAATAAATAAATAAATTAAATAAATAAATAAATAAAGGTATTGTTATAGTCAAAGAGAATAGGGAAAAGTGAGAACTGGAAAACTAGACAACACAATAAATTATCAATAAATGATAGTTTCCTTCCTTCTAGGACCAATTCAAATGCAATTATTCCATATGCCTTCTCTTGTTAACTTATTTGTCTCACAATGTACTTCATGTTCATATCTTTCTATATTTATAACTTCTACCATGTGTCAAGAGTTTTTAAAAATATATATTTTTATTGATTTCAGAGAGGAAGGGAGAGGGAGAGATAGAAACATCAATGATGAGAGAGAAGCATTAATTGGCTGCCTACTTCATGCTCCCCTCTGAGGATCAATACCACAACCAGGGCATATGCCCTGACCGGGAATGGAACCATGACCTCCTGGTTCATAGGTTGACGCTCAACCACTGAGCACACAGGCAGGACTCAAGAGTTCTTTAAGTAAACTTTCAATACCCTATACTGGACTGTAAATCCCTAAGGAGAGGATTTGTGTCTTATACATTATCACACGCTCTTCTTCTGCCTGACCTCTCAATCAACAGTTCTTTGAACATACCAGATGACCAATATCTGAATTTCAAGTTGTAAGAAATCAAAAGAAGCCTACCCATTTTTATTTTTAACAAAAAGAAAAAAATGAGAGTCTGGTTCCTTGACTTAGGAACAAGACATTACCTTCCAAAAAGAAAAGTAATCGGATCCCGAGGAGCTTGTGTTTGTAGATTCTCTAGGAAAGTGACAGAAAATCTTATTCTTCTGGTCCATGTTCTTTAAAAGAAGAGATGTCACCAAACCTGGCCCTCCCAGTCCTTAAGCAGAGAAAGAATGTAGATCACTCGATCACCATGACCAGGTCACCACTCACCCACCTTTCCACAGGTAGGGACAAAGCCAATACTGTCCTCTCACTTGATGTGCCTTTGCAAAGACAGGTGCATGCACTGATGTCAACAAACAGCATAATGACTAAATCGTAGCTGGTACCACAATACTAAGCCTGTTAGCAGGCTTAGTATTCAGGCTGCAGACCAAGGTGATACTGTCCTGGGGCAGTAAGATACATATCATCATCCACTCAGTTTTCCACTCCTGGAACCCTGGGCTTATCTTTGACACCAATTTCTCTTTCAATCCCTTACATCACCCAATTATGAGGTCTTGTTGACTTTTAAAAATATATATATATTTTGAGTTTTACGGAAAGGAAGAGAGAGGGATAGAGAGCTAGAAACATCGATGAGAAAGAATCATTGATCAGCTGCCTCTTACACACCCGCCACTGGGGATGTGCTCGCAACCAAGGCACATGCCCTTGACCGGAATTGAGTCCGGGATCTTTCAGTCCGCAGGCTGACACTCTATCCACTGAGCCAAACCGGTTTCGGCCTTGTTGACTTCTTATTTAGCCCACTAACCTCAATCCCCACTGCCAAGTTACAACTCAGATCTCCCTATCAGCCCTGGACTCTGACTGCAAAAGCCTCCTATTTGACCTCCATGCCATCAATCTAGTTTTCCAATCCTTCTGTTTTGTTAATCCTCACCCGAGGATATTTTCCCATTGATTTTTAGAGAGAGTGAAGAGAGAGGGAAAAACAGAAACATTAATGTGAGAGAAACACATAGATTGGTTGCCTCCTGAATGAGTGGCATCCAGGGCCCAGGCCTGGGAGCAACCTGCAACCGATGTATGTGCCCTTGACCGGATTCGAACCGGGACCCTTCAGTCTGCAGGCTGATGCCCTATCACTGAGCCAAACCAGCTAGGGCTTTCCAATCCTTCTTCACACAAAAAAGCAGGACTTTCAAAAATAAAAATTTAATTGTGTCTTCTTCCTATTTAAAATGTTTTGGTGTCTGACCACTGTTTCAGAATAAGGTTCAGGCTATTAAAATGGCTTATAAAGTTTTGTATGACCTGGCCCCTGCTTAATTTTTCAGTGTCATCTATTGTCGACTGTCCCTCCTACTACATTTTCAGCCAAACTTAACTATTCTGCTTCTCCATCATGCTCTTGCATATGTTGTTCCTTCTGCCTCTTCACTCCTCTTGACTCGGGTAAAGTGTACTTTCCCCCCTTAGTTTTCAACTCGTTTCAATTCCGGGGAATCTTTCACTCCCCCCCACCCCCCCCTCAAGGTTTCCCTCCTGTGTGTTCCCACAGCATCCTGAATTACTCCACTCACAGCTAAATCAGAATTGCCTCTTTTGCTGAGCGTCCTTCTACCAGACTACAAGCTCAGTGAAAACCAGAGGCCACATCCTGCTCATCCATATTCGCATCCATCTAGCCATCCTCACAGTGGCACCCAACAGGCACCTATTATTTCTTGAATGAAAGGCAGGAGATGGAAGCACCTGGACGCATTCCGAGCAGTAGAGACAATGGCCAGCAGCCATTCTGGATGAGACTGAAGAAGACTTCTAAAATCCTCTGTGACAGGAACGAGCCGAACACAGCCGATCTTTACCTCTCGTCGGCCCGCCCCGCTTCCTTCACTCCGAACTCGCCTCACCCGCGGCCTCTCCCGCCGCGCTACCCAGTGCTTGTGACCTCATGCTCGGGTGACGGAGTCGCGCAGGGCCACCCTCGGGCTCGGAGGATTTTATTTCGGACTCTCGAGGGGGTGGGCGGCGTGTGGGGGACAGCGCAGTCGGCGTCTCCCTTTGGCACTCGTGGTTATTTCCATCCCCAGGTGTGGCTGTACTAGTTTGTCGAAGCCCCGCAAGCGCTGTGGCGCGTCATCAATCAGCGACGGGCGAGGCGCCGGCAGCGGGAGACCCGCGGCGGAAGTAACGTAACACGCGCGCCTCCGGGAGAGGACGCCCGCGGGCGAGCAGGAGGAGGCCATGGCCCCTCGGCGCCTCCTCTTGGTTGGGGAAGGGAACTTCTCCTTCGCCGCCGCTGTGAGTGAGACCCTGGACCCGAGCACTAGCCTCACGGCCACCTGCCTGCAGCGCCCCACCGACCTAGCGGGGGACCCGGCGGCCGGGGAGAACCTCCGGCGCCTGCGCGAGCGAGGTATCGCGGCCCCGCCCAGCGCGGCCCCGCCCAGCGCGGCCCCGCCCAGCGCGGCCCCGCCCAGCGCGGCCCCGCCCAGCGCGGCCCCGCCCAGCGCGGCCCGAAGGGTGGGAACGTGGGCATTGAAGAGAGAATCGCTCCAGAAAGTCCAGTGGACTTTTACGGAAATCTCGCTCTGTGCCTAGACCGGGGTTGTTTCGCGCGGTTCAGGTTAGGAAAGGGTTTTCTGTGCCTCCAGGTTTTAAGACATCCTCCTGTCTGTATTTCGTGCCAGGTACAAGGATACATTTTGGTGTGGACTGCACCCAGCTGGCAGATGCCTTTGAACCGCACGACAGGGAGTTTGACCGAATTTGTTTTAACTTCCCGCACTGTGGACGCAAAGCTGGAGTAGCGAGGAACAGGGAACTGCTTGCCAAGTTCTTCCGGAGGTGAGGAAAGGAGAGCGCTCACAAGGAAAGCACTGGAACATTTTAGTTTGGGAAGTTAGGCTCACGTGTGTAAATTATTATGCTAGGTTTAGAGAGACTATAAAGCTCCATAAGAATACACAGTCCCGTTGGAAAGGCAGACATATAACCCTGAAGGCTAAATCAAAGTACAAATACTGTGCCCTTGGGTGTCTAATGGGCTGGTCACCTATTTTTGGTCATGCAAAATAGTGATAACCAGTGTAGTCTAAAGGTGAGGAGCATGGATTTAGGAGCCAAACTGCCTGGATTCAAATCCACACCCACCACCTAATACCCTGTTTCCCCGAAAATAAGACAGTGTCTTATATTAATTTTTGCTCCCAAAGATGCACTAGATCTTATTTTCAGGGGATGTCTTATTTTCGGGGAAACACGGTTTTTGTATGATTTTAGGTAAGCTTACTTAATCCTTTTTTGCTTCCTCATCTATAAACTGAAGATATTAATATTTCCAGATAGCCTCATAACATTATTGGGACTTTACCATAGTGCTTTACACCAGCGATTTTCAGCCAGTGTCTGCAGGCGGACACACTAGTACAGCGTTTTTCAACCGCTGTTCCGCGGCACACTAGTGATGTTGCCTGGTGTGCCGTAGGTGCAGACAAGACAAGAATTTTATAATTTTTCACTATTTTGTTTACTTAATATTTCATAATAAAGTAATTATAAAATACTTTCTTTGTGTTTATTTGATTCCTATTCAAGAGAATTACTTTATATATAGTCAATATAGGCACAGAGTTAAATTTTTTAACATTTTCTAATGGTGGTGTGCCTCGTGATTTTTTTCATGAAACAAGTGTGCCTTTGCCCAAAAAAGGTTGAAAAACACTGCACTAGTATACCAAAACATGTGGCACAATTGCAGGTCTCTGGGTCACAGCTGTTAACAAACTTCACAGAGGCAATATTTCAAGTAAGTATCTGAAGTATAGAACTTTAATAGGGAGGAGGGGAGTGAAAAGAACAACTTTCTCCATGGAACTGTAACAGAGCTGCAAGAATTTTAATAACATGCAGTACCTGATAGTTTAGTCAGGGGCACTGACCTCTTTTCCCTTAGATTGTCAAATAAGAAAATGACAACAACCAAAACAATAGTAGCCGTCCAGTGTGAATGAATCAAAGTTATACCTATTTTTTTTGTGTCAGATCAGCAAAAAGTAAACTTTTTGATGTGCTGCAGAATTTTAGTTTATGTGCGCCATCAGATGAAACAGGTTGAACATCGCTGCTTTACACTGTTTACCAAAGCCTGTGGCATAATTGGAGGTCTCTTTGGGTCATGGTTGTCAACAAATTTTTCACAGAGGCAGTATTTTAAGTATTTGAAGTATAGAATTTTAATAGGCAGAAGTTGCCGAAACTGGTTTGGCTCAGCGGTAGAGCGTCGGTCTGCGGACTGAAAGGTTCCAGGTTCGATTCCGGTCAAGGGCATGTACCTTGGTTGCGGGCACATCCCCAGTAGGGGTGTGCAAGAGGCAGCTTGTTGATATTTCTCTGTCATCGATGTTTCTAGCTCTATCTCTCTCCCTTCCTCCCTGTAAGAAAATCAATAAAATAAAATAAAAATAAATTAAAAAAAAGAATTTTAATAGGCAGAAGGGAGCGAAAAGAACAACTTCTCCACCAGGAAGAACAGCCTGATCAGTGAATCCTGTATAGGAACCTTGAAGACATTGATTTTCTATAACATGTAGGTGAACAATGCAAATACCAAGCTGGTAATACTGTGGTCAGGCACCAGTGTTATGAGTTGAACATTGAATTTACATTCTAATTTACTTCCAGCTATTTTCTTTGCATGTTTGAAGTCTAATAGACCTTTGCCAATGGGTGTGAAATAGATTTTAATTATTTCACAGCCAAACCATGTATATATAACTAACTCCAGTGGTAATTGCTACTTGATAAATGGCCTGTATTCTCTCCCTTCCCTCACCCCCATTAGCTGTGCAGATGTTCTTGCAGAGGAAGGAGAAATCCATGTGGCATTGTGTAGGGGACAAGGTGGGACTCCTGCTGATAATCCCACAAGAGAATGGCACAACAGTTGGCAAGTGGTTGCCATGGCAGCTCTAGGCGGATTCATTTTAAGTGATGTGCATCCCTTCAGCTGTGAGGCTGTGCCAGGGTACAAGTGCACTGGATATAGGTAAGTAATAACAGAGGTCTAAGACTTTTCAGCTCTCTCACTAATTATTAATTTAAAAAAACCCTCAAAGGTAAACTTTTTTCTTGCCAATTTCCTGATTCAGTCTCAAACACTTATTTTCCTTAATAATAACAGACTTCATACTTGGTATCTATTTTGCCAGGAG